AACACTTGACAAATTTCTATATAAACTCAAAACGTTCTACCAACGTCTAAAACAAGAAAATGATGTGAGTATTGACTGTTTAATTAAGACAATTTAGTGTATTATATCAATTTCAATTTGATCTGATGAGATAACATTGTTTTATTCATCTGAACCATTTCAGATATACATTTTCATTTGGTCAGTTGGTAGCGATCTATTCGATCGTTGTATTTACATCGGAATTTTTCAACTGTCATGAATTTTGTGGAAAATCTAGATTTCCTAATAATGGAAAAGTAATTTTCCAAACTAAGACATATAAATATGTAAGTCATCAGTCAAGTTCCAATACAAATATTCAGTCTCATTATTATGAATATTCTCAGTTAATTCGCTTTAACCAGCCCTCTCCAAAGGTTAGTGGAACTTTTGAGAAACCGGCTTTTGGGAAGGTGAGTTAAATACACTTTGCAACGGAGATGCTAATCCATATGTTTGCATATTTCTAGAAAATAGATTTGAAATTCCCCTTCACATTATATGGTTTTAATATCAGCAGATTCATTATAGATGAATTTGGTAAGAGAATTATTTTCCTCGAATTAAAATTTTCACTGATTTTTGTTTACTCACATTTCAATTCCATGAATCAAAGTCGCTTTCATTACTTCAATAGATCAGTTTTAGGCATTTTTAACATTCAAAACATCTACTGATGTCTTTCCTTGTTCAAGTTGTAAATCGTTTGATGTTTTGCAGCAAACTAATTACAGTTCATGCAACTCATTCTAGTCTCCAGTTAATTTCAAAGTCTTTCATTCATTCACTGTAGATTATCAACCTAATTGCATGTTTTCATTTGATAAACACAGGTGGAATTTATTTAGAAGGAGCAAGGGGTTTTGGATCAGTTGACAATTATATCCCAGGCAATGATCGGTGTGAAACTAAGATTTTGGATGGAAGTGAGTTCTTCAATGAGATTTTGTTTTATGTTTTTCTTTCCTCATTTTTATTTTGCAGAAATGATTCGGCATTTAACTTGATTAATTCGTCAGAGCTGGCCAGTACACAGTGATTGTTTTATTTGTGTGATTTCATGGCCTAAAATGTGTTCACAACACGTATTCATTACTGTGAAGTGAAAATGTTAAATAAAACCGTGATCCAATTCAAAACAGACGCAAATTGATTGATTAGAAATAATAAACCAAACGATGTAAATTCTCAGGTGGAAATTATCTACTCTTCAATCTTTTCGGACTACCATAAAACTGATATTTCATCAATACGACACTTCTTGATAGATTGAACGAATCAAGCTGATCACAGGTGCAATAATAAGCGATGTTGTGTGAAAAATCAGTTTGGATTATTGAAGCACATTAACTATCAATCCATATTTGATTTCCTCCAAGTCTTTTTGTCAATTACTCGGTTCTTAAAAGTTCAGTCCTTCTTATTCACTGTCGTTGAACTACTGGATATTAAACACATTCTTGATTATCATTATCGTTTGATCATGAAGTTTGACCTCATGCACCACCTCAAACATCCAATCAACTAACAATCACGAATAATAGGCCGGTACTACATGATTGATTCGAATTAGAACACCTAGAATATCAAAATGAAGGCCATTCATTATATTCAAATACTGAAATAAATGTCATTGGGATAAAATTTCCGGGAAATAATTAGTTCAGTTACGAGAATACTGGTCAATTGAAATAACAGAATTTCACAAAATGATTGTGTATGTTTATTGTCGAATAGATATTAACGGTTTGTTAGTTGGCCAAAAGCTTACAAACTCAACATTTCAGAAGTATGATATTTCTCTCAATTGATTGGATTGAAACGTTCATCATATCGATGAAATAATAATGCGCATCATTGAGACTCTCATTTAGTTGAATTGGTTCACTTAAATCTTGAAAGGAACATCATAACTTGTGTCCAACACATTTTGTTTATTGAAAGAGGTAAATATTCATTATACAGATACATGAACACCAATTTATTTTACTTTCATTATTTCAGAGAAATATTTAGCTGTCAGAAGGTCTTGTCGTACAAACATTGATAATAAAAGTATGTATCCATATCCATGATTGTTTGATCACATGTGAACTATTAACACTTTACATCATCATTATTGATTGTTATTACCCAAATGTTTTCTATTCAGTTTGAGTGATTGAATTCGAAAGTTTTATTTTTTACAGATGATACAATCAAGGTAATGCACCTGATACACTCGAATGGGAAGATATATTTCTATTATGAGAACGTAAGTTGCGTAAATGAATGAACCATTCTATTATTTCATGCATATCAGTACTGTCAAATACATCAAAATATATTAAAAGGGATAATATTACACCAACATTTTGTATTGTGCATACAGACTTTATGAAACTAATAATAATCCGTTAATGACACAGTTTATTCTAGCACTTTTTAAAATAATGAACAACAAAGAAGTGATGTAATGGGTAAACAAATTCGGATACCTTCGAGCCAATTAACGACAAAGAGTGTGTGTCAGAGTTCTGTACGTGAACGGTCATTTTCAGACTTCTACACAGCAGTTGTTGGGAAAGTTCATAATTGAATATTTTGAGAGAGATTGTTAAAATCTTGATCGCTTCTCACATTGTATTTGTTCGAATGTCACTATATAGAACTTGATCGATTTGGAATACAATAAATGTTGGATGACTAGAAATCGCTGGTGAGATGATAATTTTTGTGAGCGTCGAACTCAAAAAGTCTTGGTTGTTTCGAGGCAATCAGAACAAATTGTGGAATGAATTCTGTTGAGAAATGAACGGCAATTGATATAAGTAAGCACATAAACACAATTCCACAACAGGACAACGAATTCACGTTCAGCGACATTGCAGTTATTCACCATCACACTTCTACCGATGGACGTAGATGTTCATCTTATTATGTATAGCCTCACTTCATGATAAATAAACCGTTCATATAACTTCACTGAAGTTGTCAACTGAAGTGAGTCAGAATATCTTTGTACATTAGATGGAGTATAGTTCTTAAGGAGCCGAAGAGATCAGTATTCTTACTGTGTGATTAGTTGTCTTTGAATAAGATAATGTGAGTGACGACACATCACTTCAATGTTTGGTTGGTTTTGATATAGGTGGTTGCATATTGACAGATCTTGACTCAGGCTTCCACTACTTCTTTTCAGATTCCTACAGGACTTAAAATATACGATGTTGAGTCGAGATTTGCTTATGAAGTGCAGTGTGGGGGAGGTAACAAATATTATTTACATTCTAATTTACATTGACTTACATGAGTAGTCATCTGTTAGCACCATGTTACCTTCTGTTTGTACACGATCATCACTATGTCAACGTGCAGATTTTCTGTAATTTATATTGATGACCGAATTTGTGTTTTTTACAGTCTACAATATTCAGTTGTTTTTGTTTGTACAATAAATTGATGGAAGTGCCGATGAGGTGCTGAGGAAAATTGTGTGAAATAGAATCTGAATAATTTAGGCAAACTCACTGTCCTAATGTTACTGTGTATTTAAAATTCAATGTCAATATGGTGTTCAGAAATCTTGAAGCAAGATTCAAGTGTCACATGTAATGTAAATTCATAATGGAAACTCATCCTGAAAATATTTTGTCTTTCGAATTGATACCAAAGTATCTGTATGCTCAATTCAACAACCGTCATCCTCGTTGATATCGCAAAACAGATTTGAGTTGCTGTGAATAAATCGGAATCGTATTGTTTTATCATTTTGTGCTAAGCTCCATCAAAAAGAATTTCAAGATCCACGTCAGCTGACGCTTGCCTAATTTGGCATACTCAGTAATATGACTAAGATGTGTGAATGTCTACATCACGTATTTGTAGATAGATATTTGGAGAAGTCTTGTGTATAGTGTTAACGATCCAGACAGGAATATATGAACGAGGATACTAGACAGACGATATATCTACTCATTTATTCACTCACCCACTAATAGACAATCAAACGTGCAGCCTCTCAATATTGACTATTTGTGAAACAATTTGTAACGAGATAAACATATTTTTTGTGTAGATGTGGCACTGACACCTTAGTAAAACGAATCGGCAATTTTATCGATATCATTATTCATTTAGTGGTTGAACATCGGTCAGTTTCAGAACCTTAAGCGATGTAGAGCATATTTCATAAGGATGTTATTTGACCACCATTGTAACTGTAATCAGATATTAAACAGTTTCTTATTTTGATCGCCTCTTAAACGAACAAACAACATGTTATATCCAAAATAGAAATCAGAATTTTAACTGTCTTCTTCTGTACAATTTATCACATTAGATTTGCAAGGGCCTAGAATACTTGTTCCTCACAATTGGATCAAAAGTGGGACGCTAGTGGAATATGAAGTTCTTGGTGGTATGTCAAACTTTATTTTATCAGAGTTGACTATTTTCACACTTGAATCAATCAACTTTGTTTCATAAAATTGGAAATTTCATGTATGATTTCAGACAGTTATTGAACGATATCAAGTCATCAGTCACAAGTGACGTTACACCAAACAACGACTCACTGTTGAATGTAGCCACGTAGTTTGAATCTTTTTGTCATTGTAGGTTGTCGGAAATCTTTTCAAAGAATTCTCTTCATTTGTAGTTCGATTGAATTAACATAGTGGAAAATAAATTTTCCCTTTGAGTACAACTGACGTTCGTGCATCGGCTTCTAAATAGTCAGTTAGAGTGAAATAACAATGTCATACTTCACTTTACATATGTAAAGATGGTATACACGAGATATTTTTGAATCATAAAGCAGGAACGAGATTCGTTAACCGTCTAGAGTGTACATTTTTTTTCTAATATTAACAATCATTGACATCCGTGACATTCGCCTGACAAATTTCATCGTTCAACTTACAACGTAATTTTATTCAATTCTAACATGTTTTCGGGAAATGTGAATGACTGTGAAAGTGTATTGAATTTCAGATTGA